CTGCTTCCACCTTTGTGAATCGGGCTTATTATTCCAAGCTTCCACATGGCGGGAACTTGGTTCCGGTCTAAGCAGTGCTGAAAAAACTGAGCTAAAAGTCCTGCCAGTTGGTTTGCTGCTACTCCCAATGCCTCAGGACAAATGGTGTCGACACCCGGCGAGCTGTGTTTGCGTAGAGAAGTCAGCTTTTGCAATACAGCCTCTGCGGTAAAACTGATGTGGGTTAGTCCTGGCGAGCAGAATACAAAGCTTGGTAGATCGCTTGGTGGCGAGACCCTTTGAAACTTGGGGGCGTATTGCATCTGCAGCGCGTTTGCAGCTTCCATAGACGTTCTTGTTGGGCCCTCAGCCGTCTTGAGTGGAGGAAATCCTTGCCTCATCTTTCGTAGGCTATTAACGTGCTTGTATAGCAGTTTGTGGTTAGCACTGAAGGCTTTTGCGATGTTCTGCTGATAGGTGGCTTTGTCTTCTCTTAACAGTTGAGTGCAGTGGTTACGTTGGGCTACGTAGTTGTCCCAAGTTTCTGATGCTGGAGCTTCTTTGTACACTCGCCATGCTGCGTTGCGTACTGTCATCCATTTTCGGGTTCTGCTCCTAACGAAAGAAACGGATTTGCACTTATTGCAAGCTTTTATCTCTGAAGCCTGTGCAATCAGCTGATTGAATGTTTCGACGAACTCGAGCCAGGCGACTTCCGGGGGTTCTTCTTCGAGGAAAGACCATGTTGTGGCGCTGACTAGCTGGACGAGTCGGTCGTACCTTGTGATGGTTCGCACAGTATCATCTTTATCATTCAGATATTCTGCATAGCAGACGAAGTTGAAACTGATGACTGCGTGATCACTGCGACCCAACGGGCAGTCTAAAACCAACGCATCAATCATATGCTCCTCGTTGGTAAGCACAAGATCCAACACAGATGGCCTGTTACCAGTTCTGAACCGAGTGGGCAAAGTGATGTGGTTGTAAAGAGGAGCAGTAGTTACTAGATCTTGTAAATCGGTTTTGAATTGTTCGCCGGTTGTGGCAGGGGCTTCTAAACAATGTACGTTGAAGTCACCCATGATAAGAATGTGAGTGTACTTTTGTTGTAAACTGCACCTTAAAGCAGCCATTAGGTGGTAGTCGGTTTCGGATGTTGAGTTAGGGGCGCGGTACACCAGGATAATAAGGCAAGCGTCCCTGCCTTTTAACTGCAACCGGCACCAAAGAGAGTCGGGGAACTGCGAATCTGAATCCTCCACGGCTTCGCACTGTAAGTCGTTTCGATAATACAGGATTACCCCTCCTCCTTTTGTGAGCCTATCGTTCCGGATCAGCGACATGTCGGGTAGCGACACTCCAGCGTCCGTCATTCCCGTGTGCAACCATGTCTCGGTGATACCAATGACATCATACGAGCAGGAAGCTTGGCGATCTTTCAGTTCAGCCAGTTTGTTAGAAAGGCCCTGAGCATTTGTATACAAGCAGGCTAGTTTCTCGGTCTCTAGGCGCCCGCAGAGAGGTGAAGCTGTCAAGTGAGGGAGAATGCCGACCGATGGGAGGTCGGCAGTTACTCGTTTTTTTGTGTGGGTCAATGATACCTCGTTTGCAACTTGATTCGGCCAAGGTGCGTCCCAGCCTTCGTTTAGACCTACTTCAGAGTCAATTAAAGCAGCAGTCAAGTTATACTTCTGTACATTCGTCAGGATGCTTGCTGCTTCAGTTGCTCTAATACTTGAGCTGTGCGAATTGTTTGCGACCTTTAACCGAATTGCGGAAGGAAGATGTTTCTGATTTCTCCGCCATCGATCCAAAACATCCTTTGTTTGTTGCTCTGACTGAACCACAAGTTTTAGGATTCTAGGGCCGCATCCTCTATAATTCGATGAGAGGGGTATCCTGGTGAGCGATAGTGCCACAACATCATCCAAAGAAAGTGTTTCACGAATGAACCGCCACTGTTCTAAACCGTGCTTTCCGGTATCTTGAACATGCTTAGAAGGATGTTCTGGCACGCCATGTATGAAGATTGTGTTTAGGCGCTCTTGCTTGCTGTGCCCCTCTTCGGTGTTTCGTTTTGGTTGTCGCGCGCTCCAAGAGACATCAGGATAGATACGTATCGCACATGATTCGTGTTTTAGCGCGCTTGCGGAGAGCAAAACATTTTCCACGTCGGTGGAGGATTCTAGAGTTACTCGAATAAGTCTGGGTTCACCATAGTGTGACGAGTTCGGATGACGAGTAATTCGTAACAAGTTTATGGGCTTGGCTTTGATACTCATCTGCATACACAATGAGTTCCATTGGTCTTGGTCGTCTGATAACTTATCACGCAATGCGATGGCGGTAGCTTCAGGGTCATTTGAGCAGACAACAGTCCGGGTACTGTTGTTGGATCCCTTTTTAATCGATCTACAAGGTATGGTACTCATTTGTCTTGACTTGTTGACAGGTGATTGTTTGCTGTTTTTCTCTCCATTTGCGTTAACGGTGTTTACAATGGAAGAGGACGCAACGGCGGCCTCTCGGTGGACCCTTGCAGCAATCTCTGCATATGTAACCGACGTTCTGGGAGGCTTAGTCTCGACAAGAGATATTTGAGCTACAGGTACCAAGGGTTGGTGTTTAGCTGCTCCATCCTTGTTAATACTTGATGTCAGGTCTAGTAGAATTTGCTTAACCAGACGTTTTGAATGGTGCCTGATTTTCTTTGCTGTGAGTACCTGCTTGATTCACGTAGGTACAGTCTGTTTTCGCCCGGCGTTCTACCAAAGTGGAGAAGACACGGAGATGGAGACATGGTTGATTGCGGTGCAGGGGAAGCGATTTGTTCAGCATTCCGTTGCTTCGCAGCCCGCTACGCTTCTGTGGTCCATACTCGCTCCCATTGAAGTAACCTCATTGTTTATCCTCTGCTCTGCTTCTGCGATTAACCGGTCGCATTTCTCAGCTAGGATAAGCAAGCACTTAACGAGGGGAATGGTGGG